ATACCAAAGTCGGATCTCCGCATCTAATGTCCGGATGATCTTGACAGTCATCGATCGGCAAGTATAAAGGAAGACAAAAATAAATATCATTACAAAATGATATTTAGTGAGGAATAATGACAAATACCATCACAGACTTGAGAAACAACTAATATTTCTAAAAAAATCGAAAAATGGTTTCGTAGTTCCTGACAATACTGCATCTCCCTTCTTCTACTGGCTGCATTCTCTCCATCCGTAAGGCTAGTGCTTACTCTGCCTAGGAGTGCTGAGGTAACCGGGATTCTCTAGAAATGAAAAGAAGAACAACACTGAGGCAATATACGAAAAAATGAGAAAACTACAGAGTATCCAAGTCTACGGAAATGTGCACATATTTCTTCTACGCCGTTCAGGCGTGCTTCTAAATGTCTAGTTTTTTAATCAGAAAAATTGTCAGTATTTTCGAAGTTTTTATTCGTTAGTGATAAATTTTGCGACGGCGGTGCTTATTAAAATAATAGAAATGATTGGCTTATTGTCTCTTGAGTTTTCTAGGCACGACAAAAGGTTCTAACTGCGTCAACTTTGTGATTAATAATTGAAAGTCTAACAAGCAATTCTGTATGAAAAATGAGTATGCCTGCATTCTTAAAGACCCACTAGCGTGTTGAATCTCTTTTTTTCAGTTTTCTGGGTTTTTTTTTTTCAGAATAAATTTCTTGTGATAACTTTTCACTCCTACTCATGGACAAATTAGTGCCCTGGGGACTTTTTTGATTAATTTCATTGCTTTTCAGGATTACGGGTAGTAACTCGAAGAACAATGAGGTGGGGCAGCGAGCGCGATTCAGGAGCAGTATTTACTCGATTGGCTCTTATCCTGCTGACATTTCTGACCTCTGCAACCTGGCTTCCGAGACGACCGGCTGCTTTTGCGATGCGTGTGGATCCTGAACGAATCGCCGCCCGACTGCGTATCGAGCAGGAGATTGCGATGGATAAGTTGAGTAAACTGGGCAGGAACAGACGGCAACTTGCTGCAACACCCAAAGAAATCTCCATTTCCGTTAGTTTTATT